ACAGTTCAGGTAGGGAAAAGTGAGGTCCTTTGTGTCATGTACCAGCATTCCCCGACCGTTCAACAGCAAAGGAGAAGGAAAGTCAAAAGGAGATGACCTCACTTCAGCTCTGGTGGTCTCCATGTGTAACAAATCACTATAGTCTTCTGTTGCTTTACACGTTTTAGCTCATTTGATTAGAAGGATAGACCTCTAATACCAAGTTCTTTGAGTATTTATTGGTTGCTTTTGAAATAATTCTTCTTTTTTTGTTAACATTTTTCCTTTATTTTACATACCAACCACAAGACCACAGTTTCCTCTCCCTCTTTTCCTCCTGTTCCCTCCCCTGACTCCCATCTACACCCCTCCCAATCCACCCACTCCTCCTCCATCTCCATTCAGGAAGGAGCAACACCTCACTCTTCCTCCCACATATCACCCTCCTCAACTACACCTTACTCAGAAATGACCCAGGAGGACTTCTTAAGTCCCTCTTTTGATACTCAAAAAGGTGCCCCAGGCTGACTAGTACATCTATTGAAAGGGTTAACTCTGCACTCTATTGGAGAAGGATAGGGAACAAAATCCCTCTCAAGTTAACACATAGTTAACAAAATTCTTTCATTCTCTCTTCTTCGTTGCTTCATTAATGTCAGCTATTCGAATACTGTGTTCTGCAGAACATGAATAAATGATGTGATGCTACGGAGGAAGTGACACTGTGATGTTTTGAGACTAATTTCTAGACTAGAGGGAAGAAGGATTGTATGAACCAGAGGCATCAAGGACATCACAAAAGAACCCACATTAACAACTAACCTGGCTCATAGGAGTTCACAGAATCTGAACCAACAACGAGGGAGCCTGCATGGTACCCACCTAAGCACTCTGCATACATGTGACAGTTGTGTATCTTGTTCTATTTATGGGACTCCTAACAATGGGAGCAGGGGCTATAACTGGAGTTTTCCTGGTCCTGCCTGGCCCACAGTCAGGACAAATCTCTCTCACCCACCAGTCACAAAGTCACTCAGACCCAATCAAGTAAACATATAGAGACTTATATTATTTATAAACTGTATGGCCATGGCAGGGTTCTTGCTAACTGTTCTTATATTTTAAATCAACCCATTTCTATTAATCTATAAGTTGCCACATGGCTTGTGGCTTACCAGTATCTTAACACCTGCTTCTCATCATGGTGGCTGGCAGCATCTCTGTCTCAGCCTTCCTCCTCCCAGAATTCTACTCTCTCCTTGTCCCGCCTATACTTCCTGCCTGGCTACTGGCCAATCAGTGTTTTATTTATTAACCAATCAGAGCAACACATTTAACATACAGCACATCCCACAGCAAGGGGCTGTCCCTAATTATTTAGCTGGCTCTTGGGAACCTATTCCTCAAACTGGGTTGCCTGGTCCAGCCTAAACACAAAGGGAGGTGCTTAGTGTTGCCATTGCAACTAGATATGCCATGGTTTGTTGATGCTCATAGGACACCTCCCCCCCCCTTTCTGAACAGAAACAGAGGAAAAGTGGATTAAGGGAGAGTGTGGAGGAGAGGTGGGTGAAGGAAATGGGAGGAGAGGAGGGAGGGGAAACTGCAGTCGGGATGTAAAATAAATACATAAATTAAATTTTTTAAAAAATTAAAAAGATAATAAACAGCTGCACCAAGTGCCCAAGAGAATTTAGGAATTATAAGACACTCAGAATTAAAAACGACAATGCTTTATTCCCTGATAGTTTGGATTTATGCACCCAAAACCTTAGCCAGTGATACTGACTAAAGAGGCCATTCTTTGTGTGTGTGTGTGTGTGTGTGTGTGTGTGTGTGTGGTTTTTCAGAGACAGGGTTTCTCTGTAGTTTTGGTGCCTGTCATGGATCTCACTCTGTAGACCAGGCTCACCTCGAACTCACAGAGTTCTGGGATTAAAGGCGTGCACCACCACACCTGGCCTAAAGAGGCATTCTTAAATAAAGGTTCTTTAAAAAAGAATAAAAACAAACAAAACAAAACAAACAACAATAACAAGAAAACAAACAAACAACAACAACAACAACAAAAACCCACTGACTTTTCCTACCTTGGTCTCTCGAAGCCTGAAGGCATAGTTAAAAAAAAATGTGAAGAGAAATTCCATAGAATTCCATGGACATGTGCTGACATCACATGGGCAGAGACAGAGCCCAGCCTGTCTCCAGTACCTTAAGTGTGAAATCTGTGCAATCATATTTCCAAGATTCTGAGACTTGACGTCTATGTCTGTAATGCTACTGAGAAGTTCTCTTCCATGGCAAATACTTCTGAAAGATGAGCAAAACATGTTGTGCTGAGGGAGAATGTGAACTCTGATACAGTTTCAACAGGTACCTTTTGCAACTGGGACGGTCCTTGTGAGTTGTCATGCTGGAGGTAAAGCCAGGCACTAGGCTGCCACAAAAAGGTAAACCTATGCTGATGCTTTATGGTGTGTCTAACATTTATAATGGCTCTTATTTGGAGTCTATGAAAAGTAGTTTTTAAATGGATCTCCTTTTCTACAAAGGTATAATCTTTTAACTATGTATTTCTACCACTTAAATTACATTTTTTGTAAAAACGTTCTAAATTAAAATTGACAAGATTTTTCTTGCAAAGTCTATTCCCATAGTCCTCTCCTGACACCCACAGTCTTCAAATTAATTTTAGCAGAGAGCTAGCAAAGTCAAATTAATATCAGTCTACTAGGAATATCTTGCCCAAAATCCTTTGCGACCCTAGAGCTCTTTTATTAGATCTGTTTTTAATTGGATGTATAGAGAATCCGTTAAAGAACTCTATAGAAAAAAATGTTAAATCTGAGAATATTAAGCCGAAAAAAAAGGAAGAAAAGACCTTCATTGTACCTTCTTGTGATGTCCTAGACATATAACTTTTAAATAAGGGATCTCAACCTTGGCTGCACACAGTATTTCTACCATAATTAGAGGGCACAGAATTGCCTTTTTAACAAATTGACTTCCTATTTCAAACAGCCTAAAGCAGCTTTGGCCCTTGTTAAACTTTTAATTTATACTAAATCAGTAGACATGAGTCTTGAAGCAGGGGTCCTGTATATAGTTACAGACGATGGTCCCACCTCACATTTATGAAATGGTCCAGGACAGTGAGTGAGTCTGCTTTCTCTTGTGGCCACCAATCAATGAACACGTAGTTTCATAACTTAAACTAAATGGAAATGATTCCACATAAGAGCTCTGTTCATCCAATTGTTTAAAACCCATGAAAATTATTTGAGTATGCATAAAATTTTAGTCTCATTCAAAGACTTAGCATTTTAATTTATGGGCTCAAATCATTCACTTTTTTTCTTGTGATAGACGATTTCCAGGTTAAAATATTACCTCTTTACTAATATCTAGAATATAACTTTGGTGCCTCAAATAAATAAGAGTCAATGTACTTAAGGCTCTTTTTAGATTTCTAGGAAAAAGAACCCTTATATTCTCAGTATGCTGACATCTTATTGCCATTTGGTTAGAACATCCCATAGCTGAACAGAAACTTACCTCAGGATCCTGCTGGTTCTCACCATGTGTCAGGTCTGTCAGGTCTGTCATGCCTGAGGCTGCCACCTGAAGCACATGATTTTTTTTTTCTCCTTGAACAGAGATTCCTAGCCCACAGCATGATCATGAGATGATTTCCCTGACCATCATCCAGGATTTATCAGAGACTCACTGAAGATGATGAACATTGGACAAAAATTTGATGAGACATTTTAATCATTATGAACCTAATAGTATGAACAGAATGATAGCTCTGCCTTTACTCTCCAAAACTTATCATAAGGTTATGGAAACAAACATTTCTTTATTTTCCAATTGGATGTAGGAACTTATTGCACCATCCTTTTGGGCACTTGGTAATATGATCTAAAACTGAAAATGCACATTTAATGTGCCATAAAACCACAGGCTCAAGTTCTTATTCTAGTAATCTAAAATTATTTGATTTTTGAAAGCTTCATGGATGCTGGTGGAAACATTTTCATAGAAGAGCTAACTTGGAAATCAGTAGCACTCACTGAGAAGAGATATGGTGGACTACCATGCATGCCTGAAGGTGACTTGAGGTTATTGCCTATGGAACTGATATCACCCTGACTCACACATCAGACACGCTCTCTACAGCAGAGCTAGCTGTGTGCCCTCCAAAATTAGTGATTTTTAAAACCAAATAACTATGGGGGAGCAGGCTCAGCATCAGGAAGTCAAAAGTCAGTGGAAAATGGTTCCTCTGGAGTGGGAGTGAGATAAGAGAGGACAATGGAGGGATATTAACAAATTGCAGTGTATGTGAACTGTGAAATAATAAAAGAGTACAAAAATTCTACTGAAGTAGTTAGGACTAGCTTATATAAGTCTATTTGACTAGCTATATAACTATTTTAAGTTAAAAATGTAGGAAAGGCAAGTATGATTTGATCTTCTTATAAACATATAAATGGATAAAAAAATGTATAAAAATAGGTACAAAACTATAAACGGTTGATATTAAGTGGGGAAGATGCCACTACAGATTTTATACATTTCCATATTCTTAACTTTTTACAATGAACCCACATTGCTTTCCTATTTTAGGGAAATGATTTATTCATTAAAATGCACTGAAAAATAGATTGCATCAAATTACCTTAGTTTCCACTTAACTTGCAGAGTTAAAATTCAGCATTAAATTCTTGTATTTATAGAGGCGATGGCACACAAGTCATTGTAACAGCGACAACATCCAGTACTGTACTCAATCCACAGCCCGGTATTTTCAACGTTCATAAGACACTGAAAAGTAAGACATTTGCTGCCCATAATTTGCAAATGGATAAGTTAAGATTTGGATACATCGATTCATCTTTATCCCATTGAAAGTGCTACATGTGTCTGAGGACAGCTGACATTCCTAACCTCTGGGTTAAACTGCCTCGTGATTTTGTTCACTGTGCTCATGAAATGAAATGGTGTTCTTTGCGTTCCAGATGTGACGAACAACAAAGGGATCGAGGGTCTCTAAAGAGGTCAGAAAGCCAAAGGAGTCTCCACCTACTAAGTGGGAAAGTCAGAAGCAGACTGGTCTCGTAGAAGCTTCTACAATCTGCCGAGTCTCCAGAAAGCTTTCATGAGTGTTCTGGGTACGGAGAAAGGCACCCTTCTCAAGGGTTTCTATGACCTTCACATCTGTTTATGCATCTGGCTGCAACCACCTCTCTAGAACACTGTCCCCTCTATCCCTCTTCCGGTCACATAGAGTGTCTACACACGGCATCTGTGAGCTAAAGCCACATGGGAAAGGTGACCACGGGATACGAGTTCTACCTTCTCTACAGGGCAATGGGACCCCAAGGGAACAACAGGTAACCTAAAATTACCGTGTTATTACATATTCTGTGTGTATCTGTGTGTAGCCATATAAAGACATATAGATGCACACACACACACACACACACACACACACACACACACACACACACATCTGAATATTTTAGATGTAAACATGGGTATCACAGCACTACAGCTAAGAACGTGGACACCAATATTACAGATCATGGTTTCTGTGTTTACTACCTGGATGATTTCCAGAAAAGGTCTTATTCTCTCCACGCTTCAGTTTTCTCATCTTTAAAATGAGAACGATGTTTCCAACCTCATAATTGTTTTGAGGTGTTTCAACATTTTTATATATTTATATATTAAATTTATATAATATTTATATATTAAATATATAAATATTTATATATTTATATATTAAAAATTAAGAATTTAGCATGTTCACAGTAATAACAGAACTAAATGGTTGAGAGATTTTAGCTATGGTATTATTAAGTATGAGAATGGTTCTAAGTGGTGTATAAAAATAACTAAGAATGATTAACTTTTTTAGCAGAACTAGGTTCATTTTGTTGTTGATTGACAGGTAATTATAAAATTTTTCACATGTACTAAGAAGAAAAGTTATCTTTTTTTTTTTTTTAACAAGGTGAATCAAAACTTCATACTCTGCTTTTCTGAAATCCTGAATGTTAGGTCCGCAAAGCAGATGTCAAATGGCAGTGGTGGTGGCAGTATTTTAGGGAGGTGGCCCAGGTCCCACTCGGGATTGCTTTTCCTAGGAAACTTGGTTTATTTAACTGGGAAGCAGAAACCTAAAGCAATTCTCCAAAGCCCTTCACGGCTGGTGAGCACTCCTGCCCTCCGTTCACTTTTGACCTCAGCAGTCTAGACCTGAATGCTTCAAGTTGCAGCTGACAGTGTCTCCCCTGCCTGGCAGCGTTTCACACTAGCCACGCAGCCTCTTCAGAGTCTGAGCTGTGTTCTCTCCATTACTTACCCCTATTGAACACAACAGGCTCTAACCTGGTGCTGCCCTCTACTCTCTGGAGAAGCCAGGCAGGAGGGGCCGGAGTGGGGTGGAGGGTTATTTTACTTTTTTCTTTCTTTTATTTGTTTTTTAAACTGTTCCTTTCTTTTCATAAAGAGTGACTCTATCTTTTTTCCTTGCTGCACCCACTTACACTAGGTAAATGACACCAGTTTGAAAATGACTAGTATTATCTATTTACTACCTGTGACTAATTCCTTTTCATTCTAGATTTGATCGTTCATTGTCCTGCTTGTATTTCAATCTGATCGGCTGTAAGATAGAAACATAAGAATTTAACCAAGAAAAGGAGATTCAGAAATCTGGCCTATGTGATTTATTTTTTATGTTTATTTTGCTTTATTTTCTCTCCCCCTTAATGTTAAAGTCTCTCTTAAGCAGCTACTTCTAAAGTTTACTTCAACTATTATTCAGGTTATTGGGCAACTGAGTTGTGAGGGACTTTTATGTCAACAGTTAACTAGAATTATTCTTTCCTTAGACAGCTCATTAACCATGATTCAGTTAAAAACTCCTGCTATAACTTTATAGTTGATCCTTCAATAAGAAAGACGATTACTTGTGAGAGGTGCAGGTCGAGTCTCTGTCCCATTGTTTGTGAAATCCACTGGCTTCACCATCTACTGTGTCCTGAAATGGAAGGCAGTTCTTTCCCACCGAGGAGCTTAAGGGGTGCGTCAAGAAGTCTGCCATCAGTGTCTGGAGCTTGAATTTCTGTCTGTGGCATCCTCAAGTTTTCTCAGAAAGAATTTCAAGAATGCAACGATCTATATTTTTTAAAGCATTACACTGAGTGTGTGTGCGTGTGTGTGTGTGTGTGTGTGTGTGTGTGTGTGTGTGTGTGTGTGTGTGTGTGTATGCCTTCACCACAGCATACATGTGTTGGTCACAGGACAAGACTTAGGAATCAGTTCTCCCCTTCTTTCATGTAAATCCTTGTGATCAAACTCAGTTTATCAGACTTTGTGGTGATATTTTATTTGTGCTGAAATGTGACTTTATGTGTATGTTAATAAATAAACTTTGCCTGGAGATCAGAGGTCATAGTGAGCCATTGAGCAGAGTCAGGCGGTGGTAGCACACGCCCTTAAGCCGATCACATGGCAGGCAGAGTCTGTGTGGTCAAGGACACAGCCAAGCGTGGTGACACAAACCCAGTACTAACCATAAAGTTAGTTAATCCCAGTACTAACCATAAAGACCTGGAGTTCTGTATAGACAGGCAGTGACGAGGAAGTCATATGGTTGGGTTTAGAGCCAATGAGAAGGCAGAACAGAAAGGCAATAAAAAGACAAGACAGACAGTAAGAAACTCTCTCTTGGGGGAAGCTACTGCTGGTCGTAAGCTAAAGCTAGGTGGCTCTTGCTCTGATCTCTTTGGCTTTAACTCTGTATCTGGCTCTGTGTTTCTTATTTAATAAGACCGTTTAGAAATTCGTCTATAAGACTTGAGTACCTTTGCCTGCTGTGCTGTCTTGTCAGCACTGATCTGTTCTTAAGTTGGATTACTTCCCAGTTATCTTCCTAATTTAGTGGGAAAAACATCTACCCTCCCGTTGAGTGGAACTGGATGGTGACTGCCTCTTGTTTGAGCCTGTCTTTGAAGCCTCCTAAGTGACTGTTGTTGAGGCTGCAGCTTACATTTTTACACCAGGCCATCATAAATTTCCTTACAAATGAGGTGACAATCCACATCTCCATTTTCACATGAAGCGTTAGTAAACCTGCAGGCAGATTTCATTTTTACACAGATTTGAAGGATCTGAAAGTGACGGTAATGTCTCCCGCACGGAGAGAACATTTAGGTGTGATTGCTTCCAACTCAAGCTGTCAGTGTGTTGTTAAAACTCAACAAGAGTCAGGAGATTAACAAAAGTAGTTTGCATGTCCTTTAACATTGTGATAGGCTCTTCTCTTTTGACAACTTTGATAATAGATGTTCCAATTCATGCAGGCAAACTGGTGACATTTCAAAATCTATACCATCAACTCTTATAAATGAAATGTTCAAATATACAACACTTCTATCTGCCACAACATCATTTAACAGTAGCACAATTTAAAGCATTAAAATGCTTTTCCACTGCTATGGAACATCTCAACCTAGGCGATACATACATGAACATGCAGAGTTTCTTCAGATTTGTGTTGTGGAGCGCTTCAAGAGAGAATACAGAGTACCTATGATTGTCACTTTGCACATGTTTCAATGTAGTATATTGGACAATATCCTGATATTGACTTTGTAAAGGGATGATACAACCATCTATGTTTCTCTCAGTCCAAGGGGTTTCTTCAAGGTATTGATTCCAGCAATTATCCAGGGCTATAAACAATGGGTCAACAGGTCAAGGTACACCTGATAATAGAAATGATGGACTTGTTTGAATTCTTATAGCTCAGGCTTCCCTGAGATCGTAAACTCGAAGACAGAGCATTGGTGCCCAGGTTACAGCTCCTAATGTTCTGGCATTTTCTCTTGTAGCTCTCTCTGCCTGCAGTGTTAGAATTCTTAGGTTAGGGTGGGAGAGGTCTAGTCATACAAAGGTGATAGGCTCTATGTGTTATGATGGTGGCTCTTACAATGAGCTACTGTAAAGAGAAAGAGATATAAGCTATGGTCTGACTACTGACACAAAGTTCTTAACCAGAGGATCCTGATCCAAGCAAGCTCTTCAGAGATAACCCTGAGTACCTTCCTGTAGATCTTTAGCAAAATCACTTTTCTATACCCAGGGTTTCTAGTTGCCAGGGATCCCTCCATCCTGGGTAGCACGCCATTGCCAAGCCTGTGGCATTTAAACATGTCGGAGCTAGGTTGACAATTTCACAAACTTAACCCTGGATGAACACTACTTTCAAACTTCTGTTGCCCGTTTATCTGACCTAAATGTATGTCTATGTGCAAAAAAAATTTGTGGAGCTAAGGTGTGCAGGCACCCTAATAGAGCAGGGATACATTCTCTCCCCCATTCCTCAAAAGATCATGATAAAGCTAGAGAGGATGAGTATCCTCAGCCTGCAGATGAGCCTATGACTCTTGAGTACGCAGCTACTGTGGTTATAGTAGATCCAGGCTTTATTGCACTTGTTGGGTTAGCACAAACTGTGTGTGCATAATCTCTTCACCAGATCACATCACACATGAGAGAAAAGCAGGATTCTGACTTGGAAACAGCACCAGGCCAAGGACATAGATTTGTGTGCTATTTCTAAAAATATTATACTGAAACAGGAAATTTCTGAACAGTTTTCTAAAATACTATCAGATTCATAAAAATTCAGACTTCCAAATCAAACCCAAGCTTTTGAATCTTCCTGTACCTCTCCCCTGCTGTCATATATTCTAATCCAGGACACTTACTGGCAATTTTTCCCCAGACTGAGAAGTTTCCTTTCTTTAAAATAATTTTTATTAGCATGCAAAGTATTATGTATCACAGTGGCATTTTACAACAAACTGTGTTTTAGTAGAATCTCTTTTCTTCTTATCTCCCCATTCCCCTGCTATCCTTGATATCTCCTTCACATATGAATATCTATCTATCTATCTATCTATCTATCTATCTATCTATCTATCTATCTATATCTATATATATATATAGAGAGAGAGATAGAGAGAGACATAGAGAGAGAGATAGAGAGAGATCACACTTTCATTATTTATTCATTATTGGTAAAGATTTGGGCAGATTCCATTCCTGTGATACCATGAATAAAGCAACAATAAACATGGATGTGCCAGTATCTCTCTGGTAGGATGTGAAGTTCTGAGTGCAGCACCCAGGAATGTCTATGTGGGTCATATGGTAGTTCTCTTTTTAACATTTTGAGAACCCTTCATACTGATTTTAATAACGGCTCCACTATTTTCTACCATTGAATTGGGGTTCCTTTTGCCCTGTATGTTGGCCAGCATTTGTTCTCAGACTCCTTACAGCCATTCTGCTCAGTATTTTGTATCTCAAAATAGTT